TTATTTGAAAAAAGTCCTCCCACATTTTTCACCTGATGCCAAACGAGGTCCCCGAAATATGAAATTAGTGCCCTTACGAAAAAATACTACTATTAATCCAATTTAGTCATGGTCAAAACCTATGAAGGGGAAATATAAAATATTGTCCTTTCGAACAGACAATTGCCAATTTTTAAACTCACCACCATTTTGCAAAACAACTTCAGACTCCCTTTGGAATAAAAAATAATGGCGATACCAGTAGCCAAAATTCTCAGTCCTCTATTAAGAAATTGGAAGCTCCTACAGCATATATTTCAAAGTTTGTTTAAACCATAAAAGATTGGCAAAGTCATTAACAAGAAAGCTCTCCTAAAGATCATTCATCTAATCAAAAATAAAAAATGTCTTCCTGAAGAAAAATAGTTACTTCTTAAGGAAGCATAAAACAAAGAAATATTGCAGATATTCCCCACGTTTAAAAAAACAAACGATGGCATTCTAAGTAATAAACCACCCTCTCTAAAAACTCCCTCAAAATGTATGGGCACTTTGCAAACGCCAAAACAATACTCCCCAGCAAATCGCGCGAAAATTACTTTTGCTCTAGATATCTTGGCACTAGGAACGTACAAAGCAACCATATTTATTATCCCTCATTATAAATGAAGGAGCAGTGCCACTCAAGACCTTGGAGTGAATGATATTAGCTCTAGATATCTGCCCACTCTGCTCACTAGACACGTGTCAATCATAATTTTTTATTAATATCGTCTCATTATAAATATTATTTTAATTGCAAGAGACTCTCCCTACATTTCAAAATAATCACTTCCAAATACGATACGCTTCACCACATACAGTAGAACATTTTATCCTTGCCCAAATACATCTCAATAAATTAAACTTTTGAACTACGTCCTTATTCATAGTCATTGATATTTTTTGCCTTTTTATTGAAGGAAGACTAGCCTTTCTTGAAGAACCCGCCAAGGCGGGTTCTTGCAAGCCCCTATACCCGAAACTTTTTTCCATTCTTGGAGAGCCCGCCAAAGCGGGCTCTGGGTGGACCGCCGGCCCGCGGCACGCCGAGCCAGTGGACCGCCGCCCGCGGCACGCCCACCCAGTGACCCGCAAAACCCCCCCAAGCCGAGATGCAAATTAGCAAAGAACGAACTAACGCCATGCCCAACACACAAAACCCCCCTCACACAAAACCCCAACACACACGGCTTCGCCCCCCGCAGAGGCGTGCCCCCCGCAAAGGCGTGACCCCGCACAAAAGAGGCTCCCGCCAAAGAGAGGCTGTGGCGTGCTCCCACGCAGAGGCTGCGACAACCACGCCCTCTGCCATCACAAAATTTTTCCTCAAAAAAATGTGCAAAAAACACTCGCACTCCTGCAGAATTCAGCGCAAAAATCACTCGCGCTCCTACGCGATTTTTACTCGCACGACTGTCACAGGCGCTAGAGGGCGGGGCCCTTTTCTTTCCCCTCTGCTCCCCGCCCTCTAGCGCCTGTGACAGTCGTGCGAGTAAAAATCGCGTAGGAGCGCGAGTGATTTTTGCGCTGAATTCTGCAGGAGTGCGAGTGTTTTTTGCACATTTTTTTGAGGAAAAATTTTGTGATGGCAGAGGGCGTGGTTGTCGCAGCCTCTGCGTGGGAGCACGCCACAGCCTCTCTTTGGCGGGAGCCTCTTTTGTGCGGGGTCACGCCTTTGCGGGGGGCACGCCTCTGCGGGGGGCGAAGCCGTGTGTGTTGGGGTTTTGTGTGAGGGGGGTTTTGTGTGTTGGGCATGGCGTTAGTTCGTTCTTTGCTAATTTGCATCTCGGCTTGGGGGGGTTTTGCGGGTCACTGGGTGGGCGTGCCGCGGGCGGCGGTCCACTGGCTCGGCGTGCCGCGGGCCGGCGGTCCACCCATATTCTTTATAGAACGTGAGGCACCTGATTCACAGTGTGTTTCCTTTTACATTTCAAATTTTCCGAGACAATAGGGGCGAGAGGGGCATTTTGATTTCAAACAATCCACACAGTTTCGTGGCTTTTTTGAATTACATGCATTTCCTATTCAGACAGTATTTCGAAATAACCTTATTTTCAATTTTTTTTACAATAGTGACTCAGATATTCTGTACAGATCATGCCGTCGGAACGAAATCATATATCCATATTGGAGGGCGGGGGGGGGGGGAATGTTTGAATTACGAAATTTTCGATTTACAGTGGTTCGAATTAAAGAAGTTGATTTTCAAGAGACAAAATAATTCTGTTTGAGAGAAAGCTCTTTTCTTTTCTGGTGGCATAAGGATACAGAAGTACACTCATTTTTTATAAGAAACAAAGATCGATGTTGAGTACCCCAGTATCTTAATGTTCTGTAAATTTCAATGCTCATTGTTTCTTAAGAGTTTCTTAATTTTGATGTCATGAATGATGCTATGAAATGTTCGTGACCTTTTTTATCACGTCAAGAGATTCGCTTCCGTTCTGATGCTGTATCTAGATGTGGGAAGTATATATTTATCCCTTGTGTCTTAAATTCTAGGCCAACAGGGCAATAATGTTCTTGGATTTTACAAAAATTCGTTGTTCTCAGTTTTATCACAATTTAATAGTTTCTTATTATTGTTTGCTTCGTGTACTGAAGTTTCTTAATTTTTTCTGACTGTCCAGTACTCTTTCCTTATTGCCAGTTTCCTATAAAAATGAGTGTAACCAAATGCTGACATGCCTTCAGAGTGCCCATCACTGTAGCTGCATCATAACAAACGTGACTTAATAACCTATACCAGCTTCTAATAATCACTAGTTAGAAACACAGTTCAACCGCATTTTACTGTGATGTCCCGTTAACACAGTTCTGGTTCTGGTTGAACAGGTTGAACAGGAAAACCAAATTCCTTTCTATTTCCGACCATTACCGACATTAATTCTACATTGCGCTATATGAATGAACGTTGCTGAAAAGTATCGATTTGGGTAAAAAATTAAATCTTATTTTATAATTGTAGATACTGGCAGGAATTAACACTCAAAATAAAATATAGTTTTCATTAGATTAGATACCCTGGGTACCAGAGCCGCATAAATTTGACGGCAGCAAAAAATAATGAGAGCTGCGGAGGCGAAGGAGAGAGAAGAAGGGATAGATTAGACTTTTCCAACAAAGTACCTCTGTCTTAAACACGATATCAAATTAAAACGTTAGTTGCTGTGAATCTTTTTCGAAAAATTTACCCTTAATCGAAATAGAGATACTAAACGTTCAAAGGGCATACCAATATTTTCATTGGGTGAGCTCCCGGGATCCCTCTTTCTTTACCACCCACTGCTAATGTTCCCTTTTTGGGAGCTTATGCGACAAAACCAGAGAAGAATGAAATAGTGCTTTACAACCAACTGGCAATGAAGTGACGCTCTTGATTGTCGGGATCAAAATTTTTTTAACAGTTACAGAAGAAAGAAAAGTCTAAAAAGACTTTAGATATGGCTTTGTGTATAGAAAGAAAGAAAAGTCTGAAAAGAATCTAGATATGGCTTTGTATACAGAATAAAATTTTGGTACTGTTTTTCAACGATTTGATGATGATAAAACACCATGTAAAACATACAACTGTTGAAGGAAAAATGTCGACAAAATTTTGGTTTCTTGGAAAACGAAATTGCCAGTTACCTGGGAATTCCCGCGAATCTCTTATCTCTTTAATGACTCACGATGACCTTAAATTGCGAGATTTGATGATTTCAAGCTTAAGTTCCAATGGGTTGTTTAATTTGGCGAGAAAAAAATCAGCAAAAGAGCAAAAATGATAGAGTTATTAGATGATGCTTTGACAGCGGGGGATGACAAAGGCGATCAACAAAGGGGAACAAAACCTCAACCCGAACTTTGGGTTTGCATTGTCCTGAAGTTTTAAACTTTAAAGCTATATTAATAGCGATAAAAAAATCCATGATATTTACTTCATTCCTGCGTAAAACGGTTGTCTGCATTCTCAAATGGCCCAAGATTCCATTGGAAGAAGAGCGCCATTCTTGTTGGAAAATATGGGGATCCGACCCTAAACCAACACTTGTCTTTAGCTTCATCTTTGGGTGTTAGAATTAGCAGCATTTACTTAAAAACTTTGCCAAAAACTGTAATGGCGACATTTTTAAGATAATAAGCAGAGCCCTGTTGTAATTATATCTACCAGTTTTAGAATTCATGTGTTTAAAATTTTGTGCTGATCAAAGAACTTCATTTTCACCCTTGGACTCTATTTGATAATATTTTCAATCACCAAGCGGCACTGACTGGGCACCCTTGACAGTGATCTGAGGAAAAGCTTAAGTATATCTTAAAATGTTTGCTTTTCAAAGCCATGGAAGTTATTTACGGCTTGGCTAAAAATTTGCCACTTGAAAGGAGTGATATTGGTTAGGACTTGCTTTGGATAATCTTTTGTCGTTTGGCTATTTTATTTCTTTTTTCCTGAAGTCATCCGAGAAAACACTAGTGATTTTGAGAAAAATGTAGATTCATTTTTTAATTAAATTAAATTATATTATTTATAGTATTTTTATAGTATTTCTAGTAAATAAAATTTTTATAGTTTATAGGAAATCTTAATTTCATTTTTAAGACATTTTATAGGTTTTGATTAAATTGTAAGAATATCTTCATTTATTTACTTATTTATTAATTAATGTACTTATGTTTCTCTTTATTAGGACTAAAAGGACACATGTTGATAGCAGTTTTTATTAACTGAAATGTACATAATATCCTTTAAAAATATTCATAATACATACATACATATTTTATTGGTTTAATGCATAGAAAAAAACTTTGAGATTTGTTTTAGACATAATTACTAAGTGCTTAGTTTCACAGAACTGTTGAATATTAGGTCTGGGCATGAAAGCTGCAACATATTGTTGCATTTATCTATCCAAAGTCTTAGCAGAGTGTCTTTCTTGGCACTATTTGTCAACTTGAATATTGGTTTAAAATCTTTGTGGTAAGAAAACTACAAAAAATTAGGTATTTCAATGGGATTCCACACAAACTGCAAAGATCACAATTGAAAATTCTGACATAAAACAACTATTTACAAAACTGCTTTACAAATTTGAGTTTTCAAAGCCATTGCCAGCTACTGGGAAGCATTGCCAGCTTCATCAAATTTTCATCCCTCTCTTATATTCACTTTTCTAGGACTGGCAACTTTCTTGGAATCACATCTTCTTATGTCATTGGCCTTGTATGTAGTTGATAGCATAAGGAGCTACAAAAGACAAAATACTGTTGGAAAAAAGTATGTTACTTGTGATCAACACAAAAGGGCCAATCATGTGTGAAAAATGAAACCAAAATTCAATGGAACTATGACATGAAAACCCACAAAATAGTTATGTTGACTACATGAGAAGCAAGATTAAGAAGCAAAATGTGAACCACTGCTCAATGGTTATTTCATCCTCATATTGCATTGAAATAATCTTGTCTGTTTCAAACAAAGACATTGGTTGGAAATTATCATCTAAGAACATTTTGGAAAAATAACTCCTAAGATTTTGCCACACCATGGCCATCAGCACCATCCTGTGTTTTTTACAATGCTGCTACAATGGTGAGATATTCAGCATCATCTCATCTATAATTAGGCCCTTGATATGGAGCATCATGCATGTATGCCCAAAAGATGTTCCCAGAAACTCCCCACCTGTGTCTTGGATCTCTGTTTATATTCAGTTTGCCATCCTCATAACAGAAAAAGCAAAGTACCTAGTTCTGACTCCAAATAAAAGTGTCATTTATGTTCTTATATCGCCTTAGCCTTTCTTGCAGCTTGGCACAATGAATTTTGGCTGTCAACACAATAATTTGGGGTGCAAGCAGGGCTGTAGAATAGGGGACCTTTTCTTTTTTCTAGGTAATTTTAAAATATCATGGCTAATTTCTGCCAGAGTCAAATCTTGAACCGGTATCATTTTTGACATTTGCATTCATGTATGACCTTAATAGCCCTTTTGCTAACTGAAATGTCAATTAATGCTGGCAAAATGTTACTATTTTAAATTCTTTATTTTCAAGAATTTTCTACTCAAGTAGTAGTTAGACATTTGAAGATGACTTATCCCTAAAAACGGATATTGAGGTAGCCTGAGATCTGGGGGTCTGGAGCAGAGGCTATATTGAGGGGCCATGCAAACGAAAACAACTGAAACATTCATTTTGTATACAATATGAGAAAGCCCCCTCTACATTTATGGCTCTACACTACTGGGTGCAAGCTTTCCACTCAAAAAGACTAACTTCCTCCTGAATTTTAAAACGGGAAATGTGGGGCAGATTGGGCACCAAAGATCTTGTCAAAATCGACCATGCTCTGCAAACTGGCTTTTCAAGAGAAGATGCTACAGTTCCACTACGAAGTTCAAGCTGCTCCAATGTACCATGGGTGCTGTCAAAGATGAAGGTAACTTGCAGAAACCGGGAATGTGATCTTCCAATGTGGTATTGTTAGGGCTTGCGTGTTGATCAAAAGTGTACATTAAAGGCAAAAATTTCTCGGACATTTGAGGCGTCCAAAAATTTTTTGTCATCCAAAATTTTCAATGTTTGATTTATGCAACACGGAAAAATATAGCAAGACATTTTCTCTGTTTAAACTGTATTTTTTGCGTTTAAAATATTCTTGTTGACACGTTTTATATATATAAGAAACTGCTTTATAACAAACCTACTAGTAGAATTTAGGGTAAATTACAATAGATTCTTTTGTTCTTTTGTTTTCATTAGCAATATTTTATTAACGAGACAAAGTTGTCCTTCGTTAACCCTTTGCATGCACGTTGGTTGATCAGCTTTTATGATCATAAACAAAACAACCGACAAATGATCGTTAAGGCCTTTGAAATGGCAAGCATAATTCCCATTGCCACAATTGAAGTTCCTGACGGGGACCCATTTAAACACTTATAAGCAGTAATGAACCGTTTAAACGAACTTTAAAGAGTTAACCTTAAAATATCTAAGTTTTAAAACATTAACAATTACTAAATTAAATACATGGTTTTTTGTATTCGTCCGAAATTTCTCTGGAAACGTCCGAAATAGCTTTGAAAAACGTCTGAAAATATTTTGTCCGAAATTTTTGTGTCCGAAATTGTTTGCCTGTAATGTAATTACGGACTTCATTGCATATCAATCGCAAAGTCTTAAATACAAACTTAGGCCTACTAAACTCTAAGTTCGAAACTACTTACCAAGTCTTAGTAGTCCTACAACACCTACAAAAGTTGCCACAGAACTATAAACTTGACTTCTAGCCTTCTTCTTCTCTGCTTCTTTATCTATAGCTTTTCCTGGTTTGCCTCCAACACGAAACATTTCAAATTTCTCAGCAGTTATCCTTATCAGTTACAAAACTTTTTCTCTTCAACAGACAAGAAGAAGAAAGCATGGGGCTTGTGTGCGAGACAGTGGCCTCGTTCCTAAATCATAGAAACTCGCGAAACTCAGAAAACTTTTTCTTTTACAATAAGAACAATTTTATAAGAACGCGAGCATAAAGAATTGTTCAAACGTTAAGAACACGTTAAGAACAGGTTGAGGCTGAGCTAATGTAATGTGTAATTTTGAAGAATTGTGCATCTTAAAAACGAGAAGTTTTTGCCACCTAGGGGTGGCCATGGCCTCCACCTTTTTGCGAAGCAAGTAGTTTAAAAGCTGCAGTAAAGGAGGTAAGAAGCCTTGGCCCACAACTTTTTTAGCCTTGTTCCCCCCACTTTCAAATTCTCGTGGCGTTCCTCGACCAGTGGATGCCAATACAGATCAAGAGGTGAAAGGGTTACTGCCAATACATTCAAATTTAATTGTCTTCCTAAAGCGTTAAGAAATATACCGTAAAATCTCTATCAAGCCCCCGGGGGCTTATTTATTTTTCAGACCTAGATGGGGGCTTATTAATAATTTACTGCAAAAATGTTATAAAAATGCCCTTATGCATTTTTTGCTATGAAGATGCCATCCAAATGTTTTCAAAAACTTTGTTAGCAGCTTCGAAAGTTTCTAAAAATCAGTCAATTATAATGTCCTCATCTTCCTCAGAGTCACCAGGATCAATTGACATCCCCTGGGACATCTACTAAACAAATTTCGACTGACTTCTAAGTTACACAAGTAAATATTTACATGGGCCGTATTCTCGAAGGGGCGGGGATAATGACATGTTAGAAAGTACGGGGACGTGCCATTATTTAGGGGTACCTTTTTCTGAAAAGTGCGGAATTATCGGTATCAGTATTTGAAATATGTGCGGAGCTATGGGTACCATTTGAAGAAACATGCAAAATTATGGGTTAAATTTTTTGGACATGTGCAGAATTGTGTGTCCAAATTTTCTAACTAAAATGGCAAGTCCCTATCCAAAGTTAGGCTTAGTTAACCCCCCCCCCCCCTCTCCTCGGAGGCCGCATTTAATACACACAATCTTATCGTCATTCAGTCCGTCAATAGATATGCTTTCTTTGTTATACATCGGTGGCTTAAGAGGGGGGCTTAATAGAGAGGGGGTCTTAATTCAAATTTGTGCTTGATAAGAAGGGCTTAATAGCGAGGGGGCTTAAGACTGATGGGGCTTAATAGAGCTTTACGTCACTCCAATTTTACAACAAAGTGTAAATCTTATTTTATGGACAAACTTAAAGATCAATCTTTTTCTAACATGGTTTCATTGTATAATTACATTTATAACTATATTATGAGACATTTCATATTAGGATTTTTTATACTTTTATTTGTAAACCAGGCTGAAAACAAGCTTTTCTTAGTCCTGTTATTTACGTTAAAGATATTTATACCCACATACAAACATAAAAATACAATCTAGCCTCAATTTCTCGAAAAAATTAAGCACAGCCAGCCTGAAATACATCTACAGGTTCTTATAAAAAGAATGTCTTGACAATCAGAAAAAGTAAGGAATCACAGCACCAAAAGAAAAGAAATTAAAAAGACACAATTGAATTTTAAAAATCTAGAACTCAGAAATTTTCAGAAAGTATATCAATATGATTGTCTGATTGGCATAAATTCTAGACACAGAGAAAACAAAGACACTTTCCTCAGCCAAGTAAAACATTGGAGCGGAAGCAAATCTCTTGACAGAAATTTCACAAGCATGTGGAAACATTATAAACATTAAGAAGTTTACCCTCTTTGTTTCAGGCACACTAGAGCCAAGGGGCCTCCCCTCCTTGATACTGAGTATATTATACTGTAGTTGTTACTTACACAATCTCCTGTAAGTCCTTACTCTAAGCTTTTCATAATTTAAATGTTCTTTGCGTAAATTACTATCTTAATTTGTATGTTTACAGGGACATAATTTCAACCTTAAGGGGCTTTTTATATTTCATATAAAGTGTATTAGAAAATTCACAGGGCCAGCAAAACTTGGGGCAGGGGCCCAGTCTTGAGTTGATTGGACCAATCAATTGGTTCAAACAATAAATTCCCATGCAGAATGCAAGGCATTTGGTTTCAAATCAAAGAATTGAAAGTTGAACACTGAATAGATTTTATGAAATGAATCGTTACGGATAAAAAGCAGCTGGTTGATAAAAAAGACATTGTTCAGCAAGAAAAGTTTGTCAAAATTGTTATATCAAATTACTTTCCAATAACATTAAGACAGCACATGGTAATATTTACACTGCAATATATACATACATTTAAATACAATTTTAATATGTTGAGATACTGTAAAATTTCAACAAAAACTTGCAAAGGCAACTGGTAAACTGTTTCATAATATGATAATTTCATATACTAATATCTTTTATAGGTATAAGCTGTTATCACCCAAAGCAAAAACCATGGCAAAAGACTTCAATCTAAGAACGACTGAAACAAGGTTTGGGAACAATATTATTGGGTGTTAAAAAGGGCTTAACCAAGAGATATTATTGGAGTGATGCAAAGCAGTGGAGGAGTCTTTTAGGGGCCTTGTGAATCTACACAGGTTGTTGTATGATAATCTGGCTACATAGAAAACTTTTTGACAGCATACTGAACTCATATCAAAATCATCTGGAAAGACTAAGAGGTAGCACAAGCTTTAACAAGCCAATAGAAGATCTACGTCATTGATCAGTTAAAATTGAGAATTCCTATGTATTCCTATGTCCTATGACATATTTTCCATAGACCCACATTACAAGGGTCTGATGAAATATATTTTATCCCAGTGGCATCATGTATGAATGCTTTTAGATCACAAAGCTTAAGGAATAGGTAAAATATGAGAAAAAATACTAGTTAATATAATGTAGAATGCCATGAGCTGGAACATGGGGCAATAGGCTGGCATAAATAATAGCATCACAACAGACGGTATGGCAAAAAATCTCAAACATAGGCTTTGGGATTTTCATTGGTAATCTTTGATAACATATAATGAAAGGAAACATATCATGATAGCAGGTTTGTGAAATATATCTCACCAACCAGAATCCCATATGGGCCTATTATCAACTATATGTCTTGATGAAGTCCTGTGCTTTTTACCTGTAGTTTGTTTCAAAGAGCCACTTCTGTGTCGGTCAGGCAAAGAAAGTTTCGAGCTTGCCACACTTGCATTGTCAATATTATGAAGGTCATTAAGACTACTCGATTTCCTGGACATTGTGACATTTCCTGCACTTGATGGTCGGCGCTTGCTTCTGGACACATTTGTGGCCAGTTGTTCCTGTCTGAAATGTTCCCTCAGCAGGTGCTCTCTTGAGAGTTCTCTTGTAGGTTTGACCTTCTCTAGCCGACGAAGCAATGCCTGAAATACAAAATGTATATTGTGAGTGTGTATGAATGTCAAGGTGAAAAATAAATAATTCAGTACAATCATATTGGAAAATTTGGAAGGTGTCCCCCCTGAATAAAGTTCCTTGCCTTCAAATGTAGTCCCATTCCCAATATATGCTCAGGGCTTGTATTTGTAACTAAGCATGAAGCACTATCTTTTCCCTTCAACACAAATACACACTATTACTGAGAAATGTAAAATTTAGCTTTTTAGCAGTCTGAGAATATTCTTTTAGCATACAAAGTGTGTTTTGATCATTCAGAAACTAACATCAGTAGCTAGGTGTGAATTAATTTGGTAAGTACTATTAAAAGGAATTACACATGCCTACAAAAATTTTCGAAGATGAAATAAGAAGAAATTTGATGGGACTAGTAGTAACAGTAGGGAAAGGTATTGGCTTGATGTGTGAGTAAGGTACTGGCTTAGCAGGGTGAATGAGGGGAGGAGGACAAAAGCAAAGAGAGAAAAAGGAGCGAGAAGGATGAAAGGAGAGGAGAAAAGGCATATATTGATATAAATTCAAATATAATATGAAAAATGGAAGGATTAATGAATACAATCAAACTATTGCTACTGACTTTTTCAAAGTTGTCACAATTTCCTAATATATGTAAAAAAATGCTGAGCATGAGACCTTCAGGTTGAGCTTGTTGTCACAAGTCCTTTTTTAGCAGCAGGTTTAGGTTGGGATAAGATGGGTTGTTTTAGAAGCATGAATAAAGAGCTTTTCTATCAAAAGGAAGAATTTCCAACACCTTTTGTTTCTTGTTGCTTTGTTTTTATATTATCTGATGAATAATTAAGTATTAGCCATCTGATACTTGAGTGGTTAAGGTGAATTTGAATAGGCCTTCCAATCAATGCAGGTGGAAAACTAACACCATTGTTCATCTAATCAGATGAAATATGTATTGTTTGATGCTGCATTTCTCTTGGTTTCGGATTTGGCTTGAATGTAACCATGATTTAGTTACTATTAATGAAAGAATCTGAGAGAAACTGTAGGCAATATTGGTTCGAAGGGGGCAAAATAGAAATTTGGCTTCCAAATCTTTTTTATCAATAATTAATTCATGGGCTTTTTTCTGATAAAGATTGCACCAAGAAGTGCAGACTACAATAAATGGTAACATAAGGCGATTAAAGAAAAGTCCATTAAAACCCTGAACATAGGGAAATGGAAATAGTTAATTTAATGAAAGTACAGGCTTTGCACTATCTATAGGGGGTTAGTAAATCTATCAGGAAGGGCATTTACTTGGTGATTAACTAACAAAGTGCAAGCTTACCAAGGCTCATCAATAAATGGAGCTAATAAACACATGCTTGCTAGATTTTAGGGAATGCTGGTATAAACTTTCGTTCAGTGAAAAAATAAAGATTTTTGTTTTCGAAAATGCCACATGGTTTAATCTTTCCTTTTTCCAAATTAAAGAAGTTACTTATTTGTGTTCAACTTTAAAGACTGATAGCAACCAGAAGCTCTTACCAAGTTCTCCCTTTCAATTTGTTGTTGAACTCTTATTCTGTTCAAAGTTGCTGACGATTTTACTTTCAGTGGTTCTGCTTTTTTAATGAAAACAGGTTGTTTCGACCTAGACTCGACTTTTCCTTGTTTTCGAACCAGTTCTCTAAGTAGCCTTTGGTTCTCACGGTCAATGTCTTTCACCCTATCATTAGAAAACGAATAATTTCCCCTCTGATCCTGTTGTACGTGAGCAGAAAATGGTCTCGCACGGGGCTTGTGGCCCTGAAAGCTTCCATTAGAAACTTCACTGGCAGGCCGATCGTTGTAACTACCAAGTTGATGAGCTGAAAAAGGCCGTCCTTTTCTTGATGTTGATAAATCACCATTTTTCTTGTTATCGTTTATATCAAGCATAGAATGTAGAAGCTTTTCCAAGTCAATTTGATCTGAATCAGCTCTTAGCATTTGTTTAGAGCTTTTATCTTCTGTGTTAAAACGTTCTCTCGACTTAGCAGTTTTTGGCCTAGGTTGTCGTTGACGGCCTGTAGGCGGCCGACTTCTCCTTGCTTCATCATCAGAAGCGTTCTCCGCATCCTCGTCTACAAAGTCTCTCGATAAAGACGATTTCCTTGAAATTCGAACAGCAGTTATTACTCCATTAACAGACATTTTTATAAAACTATTCCGTTGAAGTTTGTGTCATTGTCCATCACTCCCCATTGACGCTTGTATTGAAACTACAACAGAAATTTGGATATGATATGATGTATCTAAGCAGCAACAACCGCAACAACAGAGAGGACGGCGTGACGTCACTTAACAACACAAATATTTCTCCATTGATAGTCATCATTGCATTCCCAAATGGGAAATTGTTACTATCAATTAACGTGAAAGATCAAAACACAAAGGAAAAAGCATTACTTTCTCGATGAAAGCATTTTATAAGCCTTCTTGGACACATTAGAGCATTTATAAGCCTTCGTTGAGCAAATGAAAAGGTGAAATTCCTGGGCTCGTATATTACCAATGAGGATTCAACTGTGCGGACATAAAGAGTAGAATTAGGTAAGCTAAGACCGTTACCAAAAGAATGGCAGAAATATGGCCATCAGATCAGGAGAATTTAGCACTCGGCTCAAAGTAAGGTTTGGTGGCTGTGATGCGAAGCGTAGCTTTGCATGGAAAGGTGATCGGATGCAGGAAGCCAATTACAGAGGGATGGCATTGCTCTCGTGCATAGGAAAATTCTATAGCGTTCTTATGAATGAAAGGATAACACAGTTTGCTGTATCAAATAAAATAATAAAATAAGAGCAGTTTGGGTTTATAAAAGGAAACCGAACATCTGGTTGCTTAAAGGTAATATGTCCATATAAAAGGACTGCGTATACCCAACTTGTCAAGCCACCCTTCAAAATAACGGTTTGTGATTAGTTAGTATTCTTGCAATGCAAAAGTCCTCACATGAAAAGCTGACCTCGCAGCAGGAAACAGAACAACCGTAATGACTGGGGCGACGACATGAAAAATCACATGTTTCTAAAAACCCCAGCAGAGTTTACCTGAACAAGAAGAAAACTAAACTTTATGCTGCTTTCATCGGCTTCAAAAAGGCATATGACAAGGTACCAAGAGAACTAAATAATGTAGGAATTAGAGAAAAGGTTTTCAATGTTATAAAGAGCATTTATCAAAACAAAAAAACATGTATAAGAATCTGTCATAATCGAACAGACTTTTTTGACGTGAACATTGGAGTTAAACAAGGATGCATTCTAAGCCCAACCTTATTTAATATTTTTATCAGTGACCTGTCACAACTCTTCAATGAGAATGAATCTGAACCATCAGTTAAAGGAAATACAAAGATAGGATCACTTTTTTGGGCAGAGGACAATGTCATTTTGTCTGAATCAAAGAAGGGTTTACAGTGCTCCCTAAAACAGTTAAGTCCATACTGTTATCAAAATGAAATGAAAGTAAACGTCAATAAAACTAAATGTATGATATTTAATAAAAGTTGCAGAATATTATGTGACAAAAGGTTCTACTATAATAACCAAGAATTAGACATTGTCAAGAATTGCAATTATTTGGGATTGCTGGTAACACAATCATTTTCTATTAAAAAACTTCTCGACGACTTATATAAACGAGGTCTAAAGGCGTATTTCAAACTAAGAAACTGGTTAGGTGAAAGTTTTAGAAACCACGTACATTTATTTGTTGATCTTCTAGACACTTTTATCAAACCTATACTATTGTATGGAATATAATCATGGGGCAGCTCAGAACAAGGTTTCAATGATATAAAACCAATTGAAAACTAAATATTAAACTCTGTAAACATATTTTAGGAGTAACAAAGTGTACCTCAAATAAAGGATATCGATGTGAGTTAGGGCGAAAACAGCTACATATACTGGGTTTTAAAATAATTAATAAAAATTGGCTACGCATGAACAACGACCCGATAAATGCCCGATAAACTGGACAAAAACCTAAAAGAAATCTTTATGAAGCAAGGTTTAGGTGACATATGGACATCAATAAATTCCAAAACAAAAGAACAACCACCTCGTAGACAAATCAGAAATTACATATCGCAACGTATTACTGACGTGAGTTCTCTCTACTTTAAAAAACCAACCGAAAATGCGCACTTACTGTTTATTTAAAAAGAAGTTTAAAATCGAGAATTATGTAACAGAAATAAAAATTTCTACCTTACGAAAGGCTGGATTGTCATGAAAATTTGAGTCAAGATAACTCTGACAGAAGGAAAATTGCTTACTGGGGGCTTTTATTACGAGACCCTGATACCTTTATACAAATATGCAGCGTCAATATTTTCTGTTCTGGAGAAAACATTCGAGGAGCTTGATGTTTTTTCTCCAAGCAGTGTGCAAATCATCTCTCGAATGCTGAAAAACTTGAAGTGGCCAGAAAGCGAGCTCATATAGCCGATACTTGCTTTTTATTAATTTCTAAAAGTTACAGCTACTGCTGGCTTCACATTAACACATAGAGACTTTGAAAAATGCTGCATAAACAAGGATAGATTCTTCTAAGCGAAGTTCTTTGCGGACAGAGAGGGAGAACAATCTTGCATGTCTTGCGTTTTAAAAATAAAATCTTGATGGAATACATAACATTAAAAAATGTTCTAGCTGATTAGAAATTAAGAAGAAAAAGGTTGTTTAATTTCTGAAGACATTTTACAACTTTTTTGCTTCTTTGTTTCCATTAACTCTCCGCACCCCGCTCCCCTCCCTACACAAAACTTCACTTTAAACTTCGCCTGTGTTTGCCACCCCTACTTCAAAGGCCTGGCCGTTCTGGAGACTTGAAAGAGCATATGCTCACTATTTTATTGTTGTGAACAGAATAAACAAAAAATGGTCCAGCTTTTCTTTCGTTCCCGTCAATATTCTACTTTAAATCATTCATACTCAAAGTCCCAAATTAAAATTCAATATAGAAGAAAGGAGGAAAATATGGAATTATATAAACAAATCATGTAATTTTCTACGTAAGCCAAACTAATCAAACCATCCCACGAGATGTGCTAGCTAGATTTTAAAAAAAGTAATTTTACTACCTGCAAACCAATTAAAGAATTGGAGGAAAATCGAACAAATAATTCGTCTTAAATTTAAAAAAGGGTTGGGCTGAGAACAGTGCTTCGCAGTACCTCTTTGGTAACCTTTTGACAAGTTCCAAATGCGTTCATCCTTCAACAAGGGCACTGAGTGTGTGAAAACCTGTCATTCGAACATTTCTGGGAATTGCTTTCTTAGTATAAAGTTTTATCAACCGAAATAGCGATTTACAGTAGCAAATTTTTTTGCATCCCCAGAAGAAATCCTTACTTTTTTTATTGTGTAATGAATAAGTCATTTAGGTCCACTAAAGACTATTGTTCGAGAATTTGATTGATGGGGTGACTAGCACCAAAATCATAATAAGCAGAAAACAAGATTTGGTACGACCATTAAATTAGGAAGCATTTCTAAGTGGGGAATTGGAACACATGTAGTCAAAAAGGGCATTTCCATTGGCTACAAATGGGTACTTTACCCATGTTTCTGAAAGAGGGGGGCACGTGTGCAACCGTGATGAGTGAGGGATGTAACAGACCCCTCGTGATGAGCAAGGGATGTAATTTCCGTTATATAAACCAGTAGTACCCTGTGCACCAGGGTCTCCTTTATTTAGTCTCAGAAATATAGTTAGAAGCTAGTCACAAAAAATTTCACTTCAATACTTTCCCCCGGATCAATGAGGTTCTGGTGCCCAGGGTAAAAAACCAGATGTTTCTCGCTATCTAGGGGTGCTTCGTCAGGTATGTTCCAGACTTGTCTGCACATAGAGGATGGTTCACCCACTTTGTCAGCAAATGGAAACTGAGAACCACTTGAGCACAATAACGACGGCCCTTTCCCTGTGCCCCCGTGGTTCCTACGGCTATGGATTCAATTCTAGAAATAACATTGCTTCTTTCATTAGTTTGCTAACGATAAAAAAGAGATTGGCCTTAAATTGTATGTTACGAACCTTTCTTAAACCTTGAGTTCCCTTCCTCTCGTTTCATGTTAAAAAATGGTAGGCTATAAAAGGGTCATTGGAGGTGCAAGATGAGTTGATATAAAGGAACAGAAAGGTTTTGAGATTTTTTAACAATAGATTTGTCAGGTACAAACAAATCTATGTATAAACTATTTTTAACAGTGCCGCGGGTTAAATAAAAATGATTTTTCTAATTAATTGGCACTGATGTGCATTAGTGTATTCTTAGAATTTTGTATTTGTTGTAACGTCACGACCAGCACTGAAAACAAGTGAATTCGAAGCATTTGCAATAGCGATTGGTCGGTTGTAAAGCTGGAATCCATTTTCTTTTGTTTCATGTAAAAATAAGCATTGTTTTAATGGCTTCTGAAAAATCATTTCCTTTAAAGGCTTTCCTGGAACCAGTCATTACTGAAACGAGGCTGCATTGGAACCAATTTTGCAGAAGAGCAAACAAAGAGAGAGCTATGGTAAAATATTAAGTCTGTTATTTCGAAACGATTATTCATAGGAAAGATATTTAAAATTATGCTATTCTGTCTTGGGTCTATAAACATCGTGTTTCACCCGCGGTTTGCCTCGAGCGCCGAAACCTGGGGGTTGCCCTCTGAACCCCATGTTCTGTTGCGGTGGTCCCATGCCTTGATAGTACATAGCTGGCATTGGTGGTACCTGGGACATAGGAGCCATTTGAGACATTGGGGGCATTTGCGACACGGGGGGCATCTGCTGGTACTGATTCATTGCAGACAAGGACTGCATGTTACCTTGGTAACCGCCTCTCTGAAAATTTTGCGAATGCATTGGGTGATAAGGTTGGTTTGCAGAAGGCTGAAACATGGCAGTTGGGTACGTTGTTAGGTAGTTGTACATCATTGAATCTGACGATGTTACCATGGCTTGAGGGACACTTTGCTGTGCAATATTTTGGTTGCCAAAAGCCTGTCGTTGCATGTTTGCCATTAAATCTCCTTGCTGAAAAATAAAGTGTTCCTTTTAGCATACCAGGCACATCAGTATAGAGCTGACAAATGGGTTTGCAGGAATGATTTAATGCGTAATGGTTTTGAAACCTGTAGCCCTTCCTATTAAATATGACGTAATTTTAAATAAATATCCAGCTACAAAAGAACAAAAGCTAAAACCTACAGCGTTCTTAACCTTGGGTCATCAAAAATCGAATTTAATGTTGGAAAATGCACCATAACAAAAATGATGATCGGGGTTTTCTTAACATTAAATCTCAATTGAATATCATCCTTGGCATATTATGTCCACCCCCGCAAAAACTGTCCCCGCCACACTTGACAGACCCCGTTTACACTGTCCCGGGACAATTTTGTACCGTTACGGTTCGCAAGTGTTTACACTGTCGCGGTTCCAAATTGTTTCGTTTAGCCGTTCCGTTTACACTGTACCGGTACAGTGTAATGGCTTCAAAATTTAATGGCAGAACATTGTTTAGAAGAAGCTGTATTTAGTCAACCAAGGCTTTTATTTTGCCGTCGAAGTCAACAATCGAATTTTTATTGAGAGTTAAAATGGAGTGGAAGGCCGATAAAAACTTTACTTGGACGCGACAAGGTGGCTTTAATTTTCAGTGTTATTTTAGACTACAAAACTGCAAAGTCTAATCAAGGCTTGGACTGGGAAACACTACAAGCCTTTTCTGTGGTCGTCTTTTCTTCAGAATTTCCTTTTCTTCAGAATTTGACAACGTAGTTACGCCACAATCAAAGCCTCGATTACCTCAAACAGCCATACAAAAGACCTCTTTGTGAATCCGTGACAAAATCGTCTCGGATAGGTGTTTACACTGTCCCGTTCAAAAACGGAACCGTGACGGTACAAAATTCGTTCGCTTTCAAAGCAGGGTCCAAACTGTTCCGGATAGCAGAGCAAAATCGTCACGGTTCCACAGTGCTAGTGTAAACGGAAGGGCGAACCGCGACAGTTTTGTCACGGTTCCAAACTTGCACGGGACAGTGTAAACGGGGTCTACACAAAGAAGGGCACTGAAATGTACAGTTGAATTCGTCAGGCAAACTAAATGATTTGAGTGAGATTTTAGTCTTTGACTCCTGGGTCAAGTAGAATGATTTTCTTTGCCTTGGCCTGGCATAACGACGCACTTATTTTCTTCTATTACCGTAGAAATCGTTATATAGTTTTGTATCGTTCTGTACTTTTTTCGTAGGGGAAATTATAATGTTAGGAAAATTATAATGTTAGGTGTGGCGGCAACTCGATAACGTGGTATCATGTGTCTTCAGCTCAGCAGTAATTTGATTTGAGTTTTGTTTTTGTTTAGTTTAAATTAAGTTTGTTTAGTTAAATATATAACAACAAAAGGCTTCTTGAAGAAAAAAACATTTATCAGTATTACCAACCAAACAGAGATGTGACGAACCAAACAACAATTTTACTGACAGTAAAACAAAACAAGAAGAATGTCACATCGCCTGAGCTGACCGTGAGGCATGTCCCTCAGCTGAATGCTCAGTGTAGCTAGCGCAGGGCCCATCATGGCAGGACCCACGGGTATAGAGTTCTAAAGTGTGACGTCATCAAAAACTTATTTTTAGAATTTTTGAATTTTAACCACATAGCGTAAAAGATCACCATGAAATACTTCCAAATATGCAAAATTGGCCAGATATGTCTAAAATCGGTTGAGATATGGCTAATGAAAGATTTGAAGTTTGCTAACGAATCACTGTTATTTTGGCTCTGTTCATAAAGTTATGAACAGAGACCAAAATACAGAGGTTTGATGGGGAGAGAACCAGTAATGTGGCCATATCTCTGCCATTTCGTAATACACTTGCCTGATTTTGCACATTTAGAGGTATTTCATGATGATCTTTCAGGTTATGGAGTCAAAATTCAAAAATTCTAAAAATATATTTTTGTGACGTCATCACTTTAGAACTCTATTGTGATTTCCGATGGTGGTGGGCAAAGACCGCATATTGCAGATTGACTGGGCCTAAGAGCAGGGCGATACATGCTAAAAACCAAGATCAGGGCGATGTTTGTATGATTTTAAGTACATTTTGGAAATCCCTGATCGTGGGTTCTTATCATTTTGATAACAAAAGAGTACACAGTTGCCTAGCCTCATGGATCTGCCGTGAAATTAACGGATTTCAAAGTCGTCTCGCTTCTCATGGATGCTGTTGAAATCTTACAGGTCTAGCAACCTTCAATCAGCTTTCTAGCGAAGTATAATGATTGGCTAAATTTTTCCCTTTTAAAAACACAAGTCTGTTGAAACTAAGTAGATTTTACACTTGGGTGATGGGAGCTCGTTAACAATTATGTGCTCCTTATTGCAAAATACCTTATTTTCAAAATCTAAAGTCTCTTTAATTAAGGCAATATGAGAAGCATAATGCATAAAAATTTCACGGGAGGCATTTTGCCGCCGAGTCGATACCAGTTGAGTCTCACTTCAACAAATCTCGAAAAGTTAGGCTTTATCAGGGAAAGTTAAAAAAAGAAAATTCTGAAACTAGACTCACCATGCCTTTACCACTGTTTGCAACAACAGCCGACATAAATTGAGCTACCTTGAAAACAAAGTTAGAAGATTAACAGGAGGTATTTTTGTTTTCATCTTCATTGGTGCCATAAGTATTTTTATGGGAGGGCCAACCACCTACTTGTCAAGTAGTTATGATAAGATATGTTTGCTTGTGGCTGAAATGTCACGACCAAGGACAAAACACTTGAAACTAATCCTACATCTTGACACGAACAACAGACTTTGCGTCCTGTTAGACACGAAATATAGAGGCACCCTTCAAACACGGCCCTATTCTGATTCTTGAAGGCCTTTGTTAGAAGTTATTCTCTTGTGACCAGCCTTAAGGACCTAGTTAAGGAAAGAGAAATAAAGGCAGAATACATCTGTCTCGTGGCTATATTCCAATCAATCGAAAATCATTCTTAAAAGATTGGATGAAAATGTTTTATTTCGACGATTAAGCACATGTTTCTTAATAATAGAATGAACAGCTCCTTGCAACGGGGGGAGGGGGGGTGGGTACTCAAATATAAGACCTGACAGGGGGGGTCCATTCCGTTAGAGGGTCTTACCAAATGGCTACCAAATGGCCCATTTTCGATAATAACTGAACTGCTCAGTCAAATAAGGACCAGGAGAGCACAAAGAAATGGATGCTACCAAGGAAATAATTTCGGTTTTTATGCTACCACTCGAAGGGTTTTTGTCAAAAAGCACTACCATTTGAGGGTAAGTTTCTAAAATTTTAGCGTTGGCCCTCTTTGACCCTGACCGGTTCCCCCTGTCAGGCCATAATGGGAGCACCCCCCCCCCCGGGCAACGGGCTAGGTGATCTATTTCTTGTTCAGTCATGTTACGCTTTACTTTGGAATTTCAAGAAACCTAAAGAAACCTTTTGTATCTAAACCTGCAAAAAATAAGGAACCGAGTACAGATTTCAAGCTTAGCCTCTTATTAAAAAATGCATATATATTTTTCTCAAATTCTTTTCCAAGCAAACCAATGCAAATATCGGTACCAAAAAGATTTCTTGAGCACAACAATTCTCTAATCTGTTGGCCATCCCGCCATTTGCAGTAACTTTTGCCCCATATGTAAATTTTCAAGCATCTTTATTTGGCTTGCTTTCTCTTGAAAAGATCATATTCGGAGACTTGGCCATTCAACAATGGCCTGACTTGAGCAACCTAACTTTAAAGCATGCTATTGTTTAAGAATAAGGCTGTGAAGAACGGGCTAGCTAGTGTTGAAACATCACTGTAAACAAATTATTTTACAAAAGATATCTAACGCTTTGCCGAGCTTCAATATTATTAAACATTTGTGAATCTGGACCTAAATAATCATAGAGACGAAAGTTCAAATCTTTGTCACTGAAATTGTTATTACTTTGATCACTATAAGCAGCAAATATAAAATTATACGAAATAAGAAACAACCTACCTTGTCTGGTTTTTCTGCTTCTAAATTTGTTACTTGACCCGAGTTTTCACGCATTAATCCATTATTTCCATTTTCACTTTGACCAGGGTTTCTGCCAAAATTACCAGAACGGACATTTGCCTCTAAACCTCGAACCCCCTCTCCGTCAATGCTTTCCATCTGATTTTTCCGCGCATCACCATGACTCGGATCATAGCCTCCTGAATCATATCGTCCATTGCGGTAAGAGAAGCCTCCCCGCTGTGAGCCCCTTCCTTGCCCTCCATAGCGCCCTCTACCTTGCCCCCTTTGTCCCAACCTCTCGCCATTTCTCTGCTCATATTTTGCAGGTGCTGAATGGTCCATTGTACTTCTTGAAGCTTCTTCTTTTCCATATTTCTTGTGTTCAGTTTCCACTTGACCTCGGCTCCGGTCAACATATCTGGTGTTTTCATACCGAGACCTCTTTTGCCTGTCATCCCCCATTCCAGCACTCCTGCCTTCATCCATCCTCATTTTTTCATTAAGTAGGCCAATCACTCTTTCCATGTCTTTATCGTCAGGCTTTCCTGATATTTCCTTGTCTTCAATTTCTTTGGCATCTATCTTGGCATTCTTCGAATTCTTCTCTCCAGTTTTTCCTTCCTTTCTTGTTTCAGAAACTTTATTTCTATCTTCTTTCACATCTGAGCTTTTCTGTTGCTTTAAACGCTCCATTCTTGGGGGCAAATCTTGAAAATTGTTCCCTGGCTTCTCTTCACGCCCCCCAGATTTTGGTCGTGTAGTTTCTTGTCTAGATCTAACATTTCTCTCTTGTTTGTTCCACAACTTCTTCTCCTCGAATTCTGATTTCCCACCATTCCTATATTTCTGTTTTTCACTGTTCTTCACTTCTTCACCCTGGTCTTTTACTGCCATCCTATCTTCTTTCTGAGCATTTTTGATCGAATCTTTTTTGCTATTTTGGGCCGCATGTCTACTGGTTTCTTCCTCCACTTTTTTTGAACCAACTTTCAAATTCTTTCCTTGTTGATATCGGTCTTGCTGTTTTTCTTTTTCCGTTGATTTTCTTCCTTCGGTATTCGTATTACTTCTTCTGTCGCCCTTCTCGCCTGCTCCTTTTTGATCCTGCGAGCGATCGCTAAAAGTATCTTTCCCAAATTTTGAACTTTTATCTGCAAGAAATAGAAACCAAGAGATAAATAAAAAATTCAAATATGCTTCATGGTTGAAACCGAAATTGAAATTTCTAACAAGCAATCCTCCAAATTTTTGGTCTTTTTCATTTGGAACAAACAATCAGAAAAAATTCTTTACTTAAGTTTAATTTACTCTAGGAGAGGAAACGAAAGGCCAAAATGAATCGTAAATAAGGAATAATAAAGATTAACAGGGAAAGAATTGGGGAAATGTGACTAAAATTTTCACAAGGGTCTAAATTTTTCACGAATTAATCTTTCCCGAATTTTTCTTTACTTGACTAGTATTTTACTCGAGTTTTTAGTACTATTCATACCCTTTGGACCAACCTGTGTTGTTCATTTATACTTTTTGGTTAACTTGAAAAGACTACTCTTTTTTAATTTTAACAGTTGAATGAAAATTGTGGGAGAAAGGTAACTAAATAATCAAAAGGAACATACAAACTGAGGACAGGTGCAAAAAGTTAAAAAAAATTCGTAAAGAAAAAATATTTGAAAAACACTGGCAAAAAGGAAGCATATCCGGCATCGAAACTTCACCTTTCTTCGTTTTAAGAGGGTCACTCTTCCAAATCTTCTTATCTTCGAATGGTTTTGTCACCTTTTCTGTTTGCATTACAGGCCTTTCTCTATTTGGCGGTTGTTTTGGTTCAGCTAGGGTGAAAATAACACAAGTTTGAGAAAAAGCTGTTAAGTTACTATAAGCAGCAAAATGAAAACTTATAAGATCTACAGTCAAGGCAAAACGTGGCGATTGTTATGCCTAAGGGGGGGGGGGGGTTAACAGGAATTAGAAGAAGAAATAGAGTGGGCAGAATATTCATTTGGGATGTTTTAAGGAATGTGAGACACGAGCAACCTGTCTTTAACAGGCTTGCAAAATACAGAATGGATATGCAGGCACCAGCCGCTGAATACAAGCGTTATAAGTTGAACTAAGAAACATATGGTCTAAAGTTGAGGACTTACAAGTCTTTGTTGTCGATGAGGCAGTTGGGGGTTTTCGCCTTGAAAATTCACTGTTTTCAAAGGGAACAAACAGAGGCGGACCGCCATCTGCTGCCAAGACTTTGCGTTGCAATTTGTTGACATTCTGAAAAGTAAATTACTTAACAATTAGGCAGCTAATTTGGAAGATTACAAACACAATACTTGCTACCTAGCATGCAAAATTCAGCAGATGAAGTGTTTTAGTTTTAGAAGTCAATCAGTGGAAAAGACAGCTAGCTAAATCCCACCGATGACAATTCCCATTTGGCTTTAAGATGATCTACGTTTCCTCCAATCAGCTTGACATTTCTTTCAGTTAGTAGAATGAATCCGTTATGAACGGCCAGTTTACCAGTCAAACAAATCTTTGAACCACTTGGCGTTAAAAGGCTAGAAAGACAAGTAGATGAATAAATATGTAAGCAAGCTTTACATTATTGCCAGACTCTTTTATTACATTATTAAATAGTTAACATAAAGTTGAAACAAATTTATCAGCTTTGCATTAATTGTACTTAGTCTGAATCTGATGAAACTTTGTTATTTTCTACAGATACCAGATGCTGGGGCCAGCTGGTGGTACTTTCCCTTCCCCATCCAAGTTGAAAAATCAGTGCTTGCTTCTCCTGGATTTTTATCATTCAAAATAGACCATAGACACTGGCTGACAAAATATATATTGAAAAATGCATAAAACTCTAGATTGGCAATGTTGAATTAAAACTATTTTTTGAAAACATTTGTTTATATATTCATTTGTTTATAAGAAATAACAGAATACTTTGCATTATTCGTCACTTGCATAAGAGAGGTTAATACGAAAAAGCATTAATTATCCTGCAATTACCCATCACTAAATAATACAATGTACACTTGCATTCAAAAAGTACTTGGACACCTTTGATAAAAGAGCCATTGCCTTAGGTTTGCTTTTGCAATGCTAACTTGTTCAGACATGAGCAGTTTTTTTCAAGTAATCTAGGCCTGTGAATCCCCAAAGTGTAGTTAAAAGTTAAAAAAACACTTTAACTTTTGAATCATAACTATAAAAGCATTGGGTTCTTACAATTTTTCTTTAAATAATGTATCATAAAAGGAGAGAGCAAAAAGGGCAAAACAACTTGACCCTTTAAGTTTAGTGTAAACCTCTGCTAAGATTACAGGCCTGGCTGTTTGAGGAGAGCCATAGCTCTAGCTCCCCTCCAGGCTCTCCTCAAACGCTAGAGGGGAGCTACAGATTGCTCTCCTAAATTGTTCTAAAAAGCAAATTTGCTCTCCTTGAAATCAATTTTTCCTTTGTTTCTATTCTTATAGCTCACCTGAATACTACTAGGAGAGCTGTTTACTGCTCCCCTTTTAAAAGTTTTACGGCCAGGCCTGGATTATATTGATCCTGAGAAGGAAATATCTCTGGTTTACAAGCCAAAGAATCATGCTACCAGTTTATGAAAAAACAACAATAAGCCATCAATCACTCATCAGCAAATAACACAATGTACAAATATGTTCATTTTAACAGATTATGTCTGATAAAAGAACCTGGATACTTTTTGATCACAATCTGGATAATGCTAGATACTGCTTAGCTCAGTGTCTAAAAGCTGACCTCTTGATGCTCACGTAGCAACCATAAACAATAAGATTATAAAAAGAAATGTCTTTGGAAATTACTGGTTTACTGGTCTGTCATATAATCCTGGATGCCTGACAAGTAAAGCTGGACAGGCTTTGGTCTATAGAGTAGGACAGTTCTAAGTTGCTTCTCTTGAGTTTCAACCTTAATGCCCAACAATTGCATTGTTAGTTGCCTTGAAAACAAGTAGTTGCAACTACTTTGCTGTACAAAAAGTTTGGTGTACAAAACATGTGTCTTATATTCTTACAAGAGCAGACTTACAGAGAAACATAAGCCAATACACGTACTGTTATAAACAAACCTGATTGCATTGACAGTTTCCAGCTCAAGGCCAGTGCAGCTCATAACACCATCTGTCATGGAGAGTTTCAGCATTCTTGGTGCAAATGATGAGTCCTCTTTAGCATTTGGTGCAGATACGTTCCTAATCTTTTGAATTTGAAGGACTATTGGACCCTCAATCTGAAAAATAACCAGATGATATATCCAAATGCAATATTTCTGACATATGTGATTTTGAGGGGGATTTCAAGGTCCCATTTACCGCCAAAGTGTGCAAACCATATTTTATTTGCCCACAAAGCACCCCTAGTAGTAGTAGTAGTTGTCCTTCAGGTCGTTCGACCCCTGGTGATGTTATGAACCTGACGTCTCCATTCAGCTCTATTTTTAGTGTCTTTGTTGAGCTGATAAACATTTCTTGTTGTCATCATCTTAATGTTGTCAAACCACTTTGTTGCAGGTCTTCCTCTTCCTCTTTTCCCTTCAATTTTTCCTTGCATTATCAGTTTTTCTAAACTGTTGTCTGCTCTATTTATGTGGCCATAATAGGTTAATTGCCTCTTTCTGATGGTGTTAAAGCACCCCTAGATTGCAAAAAATCATTGATTTTGAAACAGACTCTTTTTAAAAGGGGTCTCATGCCCCGCACGCACCAATAGCAAAGGTTCTACTTTAAAAGATGGCTCACTACACTAATTCATAACTATATCTCATACATGAATATAAAGCAAAATTTTCATTCATAAGTTATAATAAAAATGCATTGAAAAATATACCATTGTATTCTTGGCTCTGTTGATATCAGCTGGCAAGCATTGCTTTCCAATTTGGCGAAGGTCAGTCTATTAACAAAGATTTGCAATACATTCAAACATTAATTGCATATACAAGATTTTGACTTGTCCTCGGCACATTGCTTTTTGAGCATTTAACTCCATCTAGCATAATACATAATGCAACTCATTCTGATAATACACAAAATCTTAGATATATTTTAGATTCAAAGTTTGATGTCTCTAACTTTAATAAGGACCTTTATAAAAATAGTCAAGGAATTCCAAAAGCAGAAAGAATTGTCTCCCATTGATCAGTAAAAAGCTATAAAAAAAGTTGTATCTTCAAATACTTTTCATTTTCTATCATATCCCAGACTTTACTGCTGCAACCAAAAACTCTGGTAGCTTAACAATGGGAAACAGAGAAGTATCGTTACCATGCAAAGCATTTGTAACTCACATGCAAAGCATTTGTAATAATCTCCCTTCTTGATGGATCTTTGTTTGTGCTAAGACTTTTGCAATACTCCAAACCCTTATCACTCAGTGACCTGTACATGGATAAAAATATCTAAAATGTACATAATATCAAAAATACAATTTTGCATTGCACTCTTATATTTAAAAAGCAAAATTAATGCATATTTTGCCCTTACTCAATATTAAGCACCTTGTTTTGAAACATTAAGTCAAAATAAGCACCTCCTTTCTACCAAGCCCCTGACAATCATAAAGAAAGACTGTACAATCAAGTGTTGAATAAATGAGAAAACCTAAAATTGTGGGAAAAAGGATCAGATACAGGAAGATACATAACGCTGAGATACAGGAAGTAAAGGGCATAAATCATAATATGGATTACTGAAAAAACTATTAAACAGCTTTACCCCAACCATCTAAAACTTATCAAGCATAAAAAGTACAAAACAATTTATTAGGCAAAGGATTTTTCTAACAAATGGTCAATAAGACAAAGGACATAGGCTATTCTAACAAATCTAAACAATGCCATATTTATTAATTCTAATAATAAGCATTCCATTCTAAATAAAAAATCTGTACTTATTTCTAAATAGTGACATCAAAATAAGTTTCTATATAAATGCCAGTAATTGAATAAATAATCCCCCCCCCCCTAATCAAAACCTATAAGCATTGAAATTCCCTATACCTCCAGGGACATAAAAACCTTATACAATAGAGTATGGAACTGTAATGTCATCAAAAATCTATTTCTAGAATTTTTTCATTTAGACCACATCAATTGAAAGGTGGCAAAAAATATCTCTCAACATACAAAATTAGTTAGATATGTTCCAAATTAGGCGAGATTTAACCGATGAAAGATTTAAAGTATTCTAAAGTATTGCTGTTATCCTGGCCTGGTTCATAAAATTATGAACCAAGACCAAACCACAGAGGTTTGATGGGGGAAGAGCTTATGCTTATGTGGCCATATCTCAGCCAATTTGTAACATATTCTACTGATTTTGCATGTTTAAAGGTATTTAATTTAGAGATAAAAATTGATTTTTGCAACATTATCACTTTGCTTCTCTATAACAGACATAGAGAAGAGAATTTTCAAAGTTTACGGATAATAGCATTAGTAGCAACTCATGGAATCAGCTTAGAACCATCCTCTTCTTTATATCATTTTGAAATACAACGATAATCAGCTTTGCTTTAACTACAAAAAGTAAACATTATTGTTTTTGAAGCATTTTCATTTGAATCGTAAATGAATCTTTTTACAAACATTTTTTTAGCAAGGGAAAACAAAGATGGCAGATCTTTCCTTGCTCGCTTCCTAATCCTCTCCCCCTTTCCCTTGGTAGGGCCTAGCTATAGGCTCATGAGCCTTTCCCAAACATCATCAACTAAAATAAATTTTGGAAGAGTATGGGAGATTTTGACAAGACCTTGGGTGCAGCAATAGCCCTGCACCACAGATGCAGTTGGGCACAACAAACCCAGAACTTCATGTGCCCCACTTAGCTGGTGTGCCATTAGTAATTGATTTTTTCCAGAATTTTATTTAGCTAGTTTTTCAGATGTTTCTTCAGCACTACAATGTTTTCATATTGGGTTTGCGATTACCAGCCTTTATAGCTTGGTCTACAAAATTCCCCGTATGAAAATATCAGCCAAATACTGTTAACAAATTATCATATAGGTTGGTATCATTCTCCGCGCGAAAAAACACCTCACAATCAAATTAACAAGCAACTTAAACAAGCAAGAGAAATGTCAATTTTTACGAACTCCACAAGTATGGAGCATTAAATTGCACTACTCGAGCGGAAAAACGTAGCTAAAAGAGTAGTTTCAAAAAACTGTAGACATATGTTAAAAAATTGCACGTGTTAATACCATCCTTCCTTTCTCAGCTCCGCCTCCATCTTGTTTTCCGGCCTGGCCTACCGGAAACAGACACCTCTACAAGCCTCGTTACGGTGTATTAGCCCTATATTTTGAGAGGTCATATGTTTCAAGGATATTTTTCTGTTGATCATAAAAATTGAAACAATGAAACAATGAAACAATTTCACCTCCATGACGTAATTGGGCAGCAATTATATTAGGAGAGAAAATAAGAGTGACCTAACCTCTAAAGGCTTTGTTTTATACTTAATTTGTAATCTTGATGTGAGCAATAAGGACAGCGCATTGGACTGAAACCCAGTCGGGGCTAAATGTATGGGAACCACATTTTTTATCAAATCATACATTAGAAATACACCATCTCAACGTTTTCAACCTTGAAAAAAGGGAATTCAGCCAGCTAACATTCAAGACCAAGTGGACTGAATAAGGAATAAAATGGATTTTTCGATCTTTTACGGACTTAGATAAAAGAACAATAGGGATCCTCGTCGCTGCGAAAATCAAATATATATAAAATGTCAAATCTTCTGAAATATGCAACCTCTATTTGTCAAAAGTTTGCCAGTGCAGAGATTTTACAAACACACCCTCTCTTCACAAAGGTATTTATAAACAACAAACAGTCAGTATACGTAAGGTAAAAAGCACCAAAAATGACCTTATTATTTATGAGAGAACATAAGCAGAATCAGATGAGAGGGAAATGAAGCCATGTGCTAGTTAAGTTACGAGGCCCTTCGCTTGGGCACTGAAGAAGAAAGGTCCAAAAATAAAAAACATGCATTCCATCATATGTATATACACAGCTACCCTGGGTGCCAGAGACTGAGAAAGTCAAAGAAAGAAGAACGGGGGAAAGGAATTGTGAAGGAGAATGGGAGAGGAAAGGAGAGGTATCGGTAATGCACAACAGGCAACGGCATTCTGGCCGTGGGGTGCCGAGGGCGAACCAAGTCTTGAAAAAGGTGCCTCTTTCTTCTAGCAAGGGATCTAGCACAGGCTGGCAGGCTGGCACGAAAAGGGTAAAAGATAACTCAAAAGAGCCGCGCCCCGAATAAGTGAAGGCACGTAAATAACAGGGGGCACGGGGGCGTGACGCCCCCAAAGTTTGAAGAATCAGATTTCAGTTGGAAAACTTAACGGTTTACTTGGGATTTTGTTCGTAAGATCAAACTTGTGAATTTCATATGTGAATTACATTAAGTCTTATTTAAGTTGAATTGAGTTATTTTGAACAGGAAAGATGAATTGCCGGATAATAAGTTTGAAACTTGACAATCAACATTAAGCCTACACCTACAGTTTTGAAAAGATTGTTGTGACTTGGGCGGGACATAGGTGTGTACCACAGAGAGACACATGCTTTCTAACAAGAAGATATATATATGATGATTATAAGTAATTATTTATACTCAAGAGAGAGAACCTCTCTCCATGCCTCGTGCATCTAACTCAAATCAATAAAGATAATACCCTGTACTGAAAGAAAAAATTTAAAGTTGGAATTTTTTAAGAAACTACTAGTAGTTAATTCAATAAAAAAAATTAAGAATCTTTCAACACTAGAATTTCTCAACGCTTCTTATGAAAAACGAGTGGATGCTACACTCCCCTGTTGTTTGTAAAAGTCCTTAAGTCCTTATCATCAATTGCTATGATAAAGCAGTTGAGAAGCTACAATCACAGCCAAAAGTCTTGGAACACTAACGTAGGTTTTCAAAGGCAAATTCAGCCATCTCCCTCTCCCCCTAGGAACAATGTTGATTTACTATAGAAAAAAGAAAGGGGTTATGGAGTACGCTTTTTCTTGTGGATGGAGTACGCTTTCAACATTGTTTTGGGGGGAAAGGGGGGCGGAAGTGGTAGTATTCAAGAAAACAAATGAAAAATAGAAAAGCACAGCCCAAAGTGTTAGGTGTTCCAAGTAATTTTGGCCGTGATTGTAGAAAACATTGCAGAAGCTGCAGCAGAAGTATTTGATCAAAGAATAGTGTTACGAATTGCACTTGCTCTCAAATCACCCATTTCAATTTTAAAAAACGAAAATACATTTGGTCCTCTGAAAATTTTTAAAAACTTCCTTCATTCAAGAACAAAGATGAAAGGCTCAATTCCTTAAAGCTTCTATATCGTGAAAGATAAATTTCAGATAAAATTGATGTGCAGCAAATAGCTTTAAAAAGGGCAAAGCAGAAAAAGAAGAATCGCTGTTAATTGACTTGAAATTAAATCACTTTTTATCATTAAATATATCTTATACTGGTAATGCTTAGATGTTGCTTAAATTCTTTCGAAAAGTTTAAATGTTCGTGTTAAGTTAATCCAAATTTAGAGATTTCCTTTATCGTCTTTAGTGTTTTTAGCGTATTTATATGGGTAAAATGTTGGTAATTATAAAGAAACTAGAAATCTGAAAATAGGGATATTTCCAAATATCGATTCGATGGGTGCAGTAGATTTACAAGTCGAAAAGAATTTGCTCAAGTAAAGTTGGAATTTTCATCCTTCCACGACCCCCAAAAATTAGCCACTTGTTTTCGTCCCTGGATACGGGATGTGTCGGATCATTTTTCCACTTTCACAGCGGAGAGGTTACACTTCCCTAAGGTGGTACGGGAGGTATCGGATTGATGCACGTTCGTGCAAACACAACCTCTATTCTGTTATGAAAAGTAATCAGATACGTGAGTAATCCGGTATGATGTAAACGCAGTTTATGAATACTTGCAAAATTTAGGTCAGTCTTGCGTTTATGCTTATACTTGTTCATGCTTCTCTTTGTTTAGGCTCAGTGGCGGATCCAGACTACCGCCATTACCGCTCGAGCGGTAGTCAGATTATTCAAAAAATTATAGAAACAAGGATCATTTTCATGTTTATCCTACTACTTCAATTAAACCATATTTAATTATTGAAAATATTTGATCGCGCTGCAAACCAAGCCTTTCTTCCTAGAAACATGCCTGAAATTTCCACAGAGACAGAAATATTTTTTAATCCTTATCGGTATGGAAATTGCGTGCCAATTGCCGAGCCACATGTTTGCAAATAGAAGGCTAGCATGGGGGGATGATGAAATCATGGCTTGCTAGCTAGGGGGGTTGAGTCGGTGTAGAGCGGATTCGAGCTGCACTGAGCGGTAGTCAGCCTGCCTAAAGCAATCAAATCGTCAGAAATCACTGCCAACCTGGGGGGATGCATACAAATTTTGTTGACAACCAACGAACAACCGAGTTGACTACCGCTCAGATGGGGGGTTGAGTAGTACTGCCGCTCAACACGGCTCAAACGTTACAGAAAGATGGGGGGATGCCTAAATATTCTGCAAACTGTAACTTCAAAGCCGATGTGACCCATTATTTTGTACAATACACAACTAATCGTAGGAATATATTTTAAAAGAATATTAAGACTCAAATATTCTAAAATTTAAGAAGGCATCAGGTTTAAAAGTCAGGCCCACAATATTCGCCAAAAGTATGATTCTTTGTTAAACAAAAGTTGCTCTCGATAATTTCAAATTTTATCTAGCTTTTTAAACTTGTAATTTCCAACAGGTCAATTTTCATAAGTAATTGCCCGACTAAATGCGAGTTTTAGGCGACACTTCAAAATTCTGCCAAATGTATCTTTTTTTCTAATTCTATGGTGTTCCTCGTCTAAATGCCGTAATTTTTTTACAATATCCATCCTCAGAATATTGAATAAGATTATTTATTTCTTCTCAAGCTTGTTGTAAGGATACATGAAATTTCAGTAAAGCACAGCTTTTCTCTTGAAAATGGTCTACATAAGAAATTATAGAAAGCAATAATCATTTTAGAAAACCGGGTGTGACCAAGAAATGGGTGTGGTCTAAAGGGTGTGGTCAACCCTCTATCTCATTTCGGCGGCAGTCAGATTTTTGGCTGGATCCGCCACTGAGGCTATATCAGTTTGTCCCGTGTTAGTTTTTCATGTTTTCCGGTAACGTAATATTTTACATGCCCTTTTACCCTACAAAGTTCCCCCGCGCATCCACTAGCTCCTACTAGTTCATTTACGTATTGCACGATAGATACCGACAATAACACCGGCAATTATTGATGTTAGTTTGCTATATTGTAATTGTAATGCTGTTATATAAAGTAGAGTAAGGAGAAACAGAGTTATTTAGAGAGAAGCGTGGTGCTTGCGAATAGCCACTGCTATCAAACTTGTAGACACTCACTCGCACACACACACACAGGACGGTCATGGATTGAAAGGCTAAGAAAGGGCTGATGGCATTCAACCCGAGTGGCTTGTGAAAGCACTCGAGCTGTCTAGTACCTAAGTTTCAATATTGTATAAAATAACGTCTAAGTTTTGGATGGAAAAAAAGGAATTGACTTTGTGTGTCAAAACGTGTCGTTTATTCGCTCGGTCAATCGCTCAAACAACGAATGGTTTCAAAAGTTTTACAATTATGTATCAGTAGCAAATTTTAAACCGCCATTCCTAGAATGTTGCAATTTCCGTGCTTGCACCAATGGTGCCGGTGTCATATGCGTTTCGGTAACCTTATGCATATCGGTCCGGGTACACAAACGCATGCCAATTTCGGTTATGCAAAAACGTACGAAAGCATTTAAACAATAGGCGAACCGGCAAATGTTCTGGATCATATTGTCCAGAATGTAAAGAACAATTGAACTATTTTTATAAAAGGGATGCAAGTAAGAAGCGGTGCTGTGATTTCCGTTGTTAAGTTTATGCAAAAAAAGTACAACATTAATGGCAACTCCAAACATTGCTTGATTGACAAGTGTAAATATTAAACTCTTAAAAACGTACCAAACGTTGCACAATGATGAAAACACACGATCTGAAACACATTGCGTTCACAATGTTACACTTTTGCATAGGGTACCAAAACGCATATTACACCTGCCTTCAGGTTTGGCTAGGTTTTGGTTTACGAAAGTGATTTTCGGGTTTTTGGACAGAATCTTGATTTTTCAGATGAGATGTGACGAATTTGTGTTGACCAAAAGAAAATCCACGTAACGCTGCATACGAAATGCTTCACTTCACATGCA